TTCTTTTCTCTCCCACCCCTGGAAACCAACAAAGAAAGTGTCCCTCCATATATAAATCTTCTCTTGACCCTCCACAAAAATGAACTAATACTATATTTGTCCTTCTGTGATTGACTTATTTCACTCAGCATAATGTCCTACAAGTTCATCCATATTATGTGGTATTTGGCACACTCTACGTTATTCTTTAGTGCTGCATAGTATTCCATTATGAGTATGTATCATAGTTTGGTCATCCACTCTTCCGCTGATGGGCACGTAGGTTGTTTCCATCTTTTTGCTATTGTAAATAGTGCTGCGATGAACATTAGTGTGCAAATATCTGTTCCAATCCTGGCTCTCACCTCTTAGGATATATACCTAGTAATAGGATTACTGGATCACATGGTATCTCCAATTTCAGCTTTCTAAGGAGTTGCCATACTGCTTTCCACAGTGGTTGTATCACTTCACTGTCCCACCAGCATTGTATGAGAGTCCCAATCTCTCCACATCCCTGCCAGCATTTGTTATTTTCTGTCTTGTTGAATCTTGCCATCAGTGCAGGGGTGAGACGGTATCTCATTGTTTGGATTTACATCTCTCTGATGGCCAATAATTATGAGCATCTCTTCATGTATTAGCTGGCCACCTGAATTTCCTCCTTGGTGAAGTGTCTATTCATGTCTTCTGCCCATTGTTAATTCCTTTGGTGTTGAGGCATTGGAGTTCTCTATAAATCTTAGAGATAAGTCACTTGCCAGATATGTAATTATTGGCAAATATGAATTTGTTGCTATCATTTTTGTTAGGTGCTTTTTTGTGGTGTCAATTTCTTTGTTCCCTATCATTTTCTATGCTGAGCTCATTTTGTTTGTGAATCATGTTATCACTTCCTTCATTGCAATTGTTTTAGTATTTGCTGAATATTTATGCTGGTCCTCTTTTTTATTTTGATGTGAAGGTTTATCATTTTTCTTTGAGGTTACCCTGTGATTTATAGTTTTCTTTCCAAGTTTAGAATAGTCTGTTCTATCTTGTAGTTGTCTTGATTTCCCTACCGTCTATAAGTTCTATAATGACACAATTTTTTCCTTCTTTGTGGTTTGTAGTTGTCCTCATTTGTCAATTGATGTCTCTGGTTCCTTGTTTACAGTCTTGTAGGCTTATTTACTTTGGATACTCCCATAGTTGGTTGGGTTTCTGGGTTATATCATCATGTGTGTTAATGGTCAGTTGTTGTTTGCTGTTGTTGCTTCTCTGTCCAAAGGGCTCCCTTTAGCATTTCTTGTAAGGTTGGTCTGATTTTAACAAATTCCCTTAATTTCTCCTTATTTGGAAATGTCCTAATTGCACCATCATATTTGAGGGACAGTTTTGCTGGGTACATAATTCTTGGTTGGAAATTTTTCTCTTTCAGGGTTTTATATATACCATCCCATTGTCTTCTTGCCTGCATGGTTTCTGCCGAGAAATCCAAG